AAGCACCAATGCCATCATCATCATTATCATCGTCAACGTCAATATTCCGATCGTTCGCAACAACTTCGAATTACGGACGAATCATGGCAGAGAGGGCAAACAGTTGCCACTAACAGAGCATCCATCTATTGCGAGGAACAGGAGGGGCGGCAGCATCGCGCAAATGACATGTGCTCTGGATGCAGCATGTGGAAAAAAAAAATCGATCCCCGCCCCTTCCGCACCCTACCAATTCCCCCCCTCCTCAGCTATGCGGTGAGCTATAAAAAAGAAAAAAAGTTCTGTTTGGGTGGAGGGAGGGAGAAAAGGGAGGGAGGCTGAGGAATGGAAGAGGAAGAAGCAATAACGAGAGTATGAGTCTCGACAGCCAGGCCTAATAAATGTGAGGGTGAGGAGGTGCGGGCAGCTGGCTGGGCTTTTGCGCCAAGATTGTTGTACGCTGCAGAAAATGAGGAAAGAAATTGCGCTGGGCTGCTGGCCAAATGAAGCTTTTTTTGCTAAATCGTGCTCTGCAAGCCGCACAATCAGTTTTATAAATCATCTAATGCCAACTCCCCACTTCTCCCCTCATTTCCGGAGCAAAGATGGGGGCACTAGCATAAGTCTCGAGTGAGAATACTTTTGCAAACATAATCATCTTCATAATCGCAGCACTGCAAAATCATCTGGATTGCTAGGGCTATCTCGGTAATTATTAGTGTTGTTATCGAGATTTACCGCACACCGCGTGCTGATCTGTTGGTGCGCACCTCATATTTAAATTTAAAAAAAATTTAGTAGGGCCTTAGTTACTAATGAAACTTAACGGTTTTCCAGAGCGAGGGGTATCAACTTCACGTAGATACATCTTACGTTATGCTAAAACCTCACGTACATCTTACGTTACGCTAAGATTGGTCAAAAACTAAGCTATTAGTTTTACCCCTACCTTCCCGAACATCATATTCTTTTACATGCGCCAAAATAGGTACGGCACCTTTTACTTATTGATACATATGACATCGATGAGGTTAACGGAACGAGCTCTTTGTCCTGCTATTTGGACGTTACTTTCTCTCATGGCCAAAATGGTCCCAAATGGGAGCGTTCGGCCTTCTACTGGAGCGTACCAGAATAGAGCAACTGAAATGTTACCTGATTGCGTTCCAGTGGTAAAAATTTGCAAGTGAAGAGTACTTCCATGAAGGCGGCAATGCTTCGGATGAAAATCACTGAACAACAAGCATCTTATCAAGCACAGCTAATGGCGCGCTTCTGTTATTGACTGCTTGTCGGGAATAATCGGGAAGATGTAAGAATGATAACGTAATTAGGAAAATTTTGAGCGCAGTCTGAAGAAAAGACGAAAAATAAAACAAATCGCGTCTTAAAAAAAAAAAAGAAATTGAGAAGTATGTAATTACTGCATACACGATTTAATTTATGGGAAGCGGGCTGTAAAAGTATATATATTTGGGAAAACAAGTTGTAACGAAACCTAGAAAGAAGCTTTGTGATGGTACTATCACAACTGGTTCGTATATTACATTAACGGTAAATGTGAGCTGTGTGTTTTGGTCATTTAAAAATAAACGTAGTTTGAAACCACTACCCACACTATTCATGCGCACCACGTGCACTTCAGTATTCGTTTTCGGCAGTTTCCGGCAGTAACTTGTTTTTATTTGTGCTTCTTTAAGCAACTTTCGTCTTTTACTACAGGATGGGGATTTAGTGTCTCGTAGAATTAGTTCCCTAGCATCATTCTCTGCGGGAATATACGAACATATATAATATTTACAAAAACACAAACACATATGTATACATACACGCACCTGCAAACGCATACACATACATAAGTACATACAGAGAGACAGATAAACATAAGTACATACAGATGCAGCAGCAAGTTTTTTTTTTTAACAGCGACTTGAAAATTCGAGATTTTTTTTACAAAAATTAATTTTGCTCACGTGAATTTCATGTTATGTTTTGCGGAAAATACACGAGGCCTGTTATCGCCGTAATGTGCTTTTGCAATAAAAAGTAGCTGGAAAGCGAAAAAAGGACAACACATGCAGATAAAAGAGAAATGATAAGCAATAAAAGTGGGAGCCAAATTGTTCAAACAGAAAATGCAGAAGAGGGATAGAAGCAAGGGAAAACTGTATCAAACGTAAACTGGGAATCGAAAAATGTGATTATATATAATACTTAATTTCATATAAAACACCATAATATGACTTCGTACCAAAAGTAACAGTGCTGTCTCCAACAATCAGTATAAGTATCCCATTTAGTATCCCATTTTATTAATGTTACTGAATACTCACATAAACCGGACATGCTATGTAGGCCTTTCAGTAGATGGACTGCATATCTCCAGTTAGTACCCACCGTCTGTTCGATTATATGCAACATTTCCACCGAAGGAGCTACTTATTTTGTCAGGTGTACCACTCATAAATAAGCAACATCTGCCAGTTGTCAGCAAGGCAAGCAACATGTTCTGTTCATCGGATTTTACCTTCTCGCTTCGATTCTGGCCTGTCTTTTTTCCGAGGAAGAAAAAATTTGGAAATTTGATGTGTTCAAACGCGAGGCACATGCATGAGCAGAAATTCATTTTATGCTTCAAGCTCGCACATGGACAGCAAACATCCTTATAAAAATGCAGCTTCCTGTTCAGTTTGGTTATTGAGTTAAAGAGATAAGAAAAGTTTTTTACTCAGAGTTTTGTTGGTTTGAAGCTATTTTTGCTTACGGGCCGTTTGCTTTAATCGTGTTGGTAAAATTATCTTGCACGCATTTCGGTCTTTATAATATTATTTATCAGCATCTGTACAAAAAACTGTCAAATGCGTCAGTAGCAAGAAGAAGCACGATGATGAAACAGCAGCTTACCAAATTACTTAGATAAAGTAGGCACAAAACAGCAGATTAAAAAATAAGAAAAGCATTTCAGCTCTGAGAAACTCAGCAGCCTTCAGTGAGGATGAAAAAAGGCAAGAAATTGAGGCATGAATGGAAAACTGAACTGCAAGTTTTGGGGGAAGAGTGGAGTTGCAAAATTTGAGCACGTAGCTGAGACGTACTAAATTTCACTAACCCGCAAAAAGCTGCATGCAAGATTTTGCAGAACAATAAAAAACTGACACAATGTTGTCTTTGAGGCGCCAAACTGGTTTGGCTGTATGTCGTCAGAAGTTATATATGTCGTGACTATAAAATTTTTAGTGATATGATAACAAAATGATTACCTGCTGCTGCTGACTGCCAGTATGATCAAGTTTTTGTGAACAGTACAGCAAAATATCGGAATGTTAAGCCATGCTCATGTGTTTTTTGCAGTCATGCCAGTGCAAAAAAGCATGATGAAAAAGCTTTGCATGTATGCACTTACGGATGCACATGTGTGACTAACAAGACTTCTCAGTAAACAGCAGCCAGTGGAGCAAACTGGGTTCCGAAGTAATTACAGCAAGATGGATCACATTTTTGCTCTGAATCAGCTGCTGGTACGTGCAAGAGAGTATCAATTCCTTTTTTGTTTTCAACTCGTCGTTTACGAAAAGACATTCAGTAGTGAATAGTTGAATAATGTGCTACGAGTTCTTTGCAGATGTAGAGTTTGATAGCTGTGTGAAGTTTATTAAGAGAAACAAATGTAGGTTGCTCGACAAACATAACACTTTTTTCTATTGCGGTCTACATAACAATCGAGACTAAGCGTTTCATGGCCTGCTTCAAGATGGTATTTCGGAAATTGGATTAGAAATGAGATCTGGTTATGAAGGAAGGTAGCTAAATTTCTTACCCTTTACGGATGATAACTATTTGACGTACTGTGTTTTGAGCTTCAACAATGAGCAAAGCGCATATTGCTAAGAGGCTGTGGGTATGTGTATTTTAAAAATGCGATGGAGCGGGTTCCTCTCCATTCTCTTTTCTTCAAAGTATCACATTTGGCTGTATCCCCTTCAAACTGAAAGTTCCACACCAGTTATAGGAGTAATCTTAGTGGGAGATTTAGTGATGATAATTTATTTTAAAAAAAAAGATGTAAAAATGAAGTAACACTGCTTTTAACTTTACAGCTTAATCCTGGAACAACGACGGCATGCAGGATTACTACATTTTCCGCTATAATTCATGCGGCCAAATAAGAATAATCGGGTTATGACGTTTGCCCGCAGTGCTGTACCTCGTAGTTATTATGTGAACTTTAGTAATCCCGCATAATCATATCAGTATCTGCCAGCACTCACTTCATTTCTTTCTTATCACAGTGCCCTGTAATTTATGCAATATTCTTTTTTAGCCTGATAAACGAATGATGTTACATCACCAGAAAGTAATGAAATTTGATTGGAATATTATATGCGCCTTGATGGGCCAAAACATTTCTTTTCGTAATTATTTTCTCCTCCTCACTATTTTACTATATAATTTTGTAGTAATAAACCTTCCCTCCCCACCTCCCTCCTCCTTCC